GGCCGGCCCAACAGGTATCATTTTTATAGCTTTGCTTTGCAGTTCTCAGGTTGTCAGGGTCCTGAACCCCAAGCATGTCCCTTAAAGTTTGCGGGCAGACTGGAGGGGATAAAAGATGACAGGGAGAGCAAGTGAGACAGCTGCTGTCCTGATCCAGGTAAGAACAGAATAGGGCTGCATTCATGACAGTAGCAGTGAGAATGGAAAAGAGGGAACTGATTTAAGAACTATTTAAGAGGAAGAACTGACAGGACCCGATAAGCTCCTTTGAGAGCAAGAGTCATCCTTTGCTTAACTGGGTTTCCCCCACAATTGAGGGAAGTGCAATTCCAAAGAGATTTCCAGTCATATTTCTTGCTAACAGGGCTAAAAATTCACATATTTTAGTTTTAGAATAGTCTAACACATGAATGAATGACTGATGCAATTCCCTTCCTTTCTGTTCAGAGCAACTAAGAACTTGACTTTCTCTTTTATAGGTTCGGTTATCAATTAAGCGAAACAATCAATACATTTATTTTTTGTTTTGTTGTTGCCTACGAGGATTTCTTTCACTTGCAACCAAGAGTTCTAACTAAAAATCACACATACACAAACGTTTGCATATAATTTTGGGTATTCACATATCTCCTCCCTTCCCCCAAGCTCTTGGACTCCAAGGCCTTCAGATGTAGAGTGAGGTCTATCTCAAGTGAATATCCATTGACAATATTCCCTGCTTAATAACCCTCTGTGAGCTCCCACAGCTTGCTGCGTGTGACTGACCAGACTCCCCAACCTAGATAGTTCTCCCAGCACCAAGTGTTCCCAGGGTCACTGCACTAACCATGGTACTTGTCTATAGTATACCAGGTGCCTGTACTCAGTTCCTGACAAGCTCCTCCTAGCCTAAGGTTGTAGCTAAAGCTTTCAACAGCCAGATCAGNCCTGGGCCCGCCTCAGAGATTCTGATTGAACTGGTCCGAGGTGCAGCCGGGCATGAGACTGTTGAAAACTCCCCAGGTGATGCTAATAAGCAACCAGGGCTGGGAACCACTGTTCTAACTGTAAGCCATCTCTTTTCCTTTGGAAGTTTACGTTTCTATCTTAGACAGTGGGTACCTACATCTGTTCCTTTCCTCTTCTACTAGATAGAGTGGGCTCCCATATGGCCTTCCAAACAATGCATGTGGCCCTTCTTAGCTCCAGGTGACTCCAAGTGCCCATTGTTGACAGAAGTAGCAGTCACACCTTATCTGGAATTTAGGTTCTACAGCTAATGCCTATGACACCAAATGAGTCAAAACCACCCTTGATAACCCCTCAGGAAGGCTCTGCCCTAGAGCCTGATATCCTGTCTCACTATCATCATCCACACCTGGCTCCTGAGCTGGAACAGAAAGCTGCCTCCTCCACCATCAGGCATCAGAGGAAGTAGGTGGTTTATGTTCAGGGGCCACCTTACATAAGAAATACACATTTAAACACGTGCCTCACCCTCAGCACAGCAGGATGCTCATGCCACGAACAGCTCACAGGAACCAGAGTGACTGACCCTATAGGAGACACACATCTCCCATCTCACACCCACTCCGGAGCATATGGTCCTCACATCCACCAGTGGGTGGACTCACCCACACCATTCAGACTTTTTGTCAAGGATGTAGAGCTGAAGTCATGTGATGTGCTGTATGGAGCAATGTCGCTGCGTAGCACAACTCTATCCTCCCCTTCCTTCCACCTGCCCCCAAGCAGCTGGCCCAGCCTCTCGCCCTCTCGCCCTCCCTGACTTCCCTTCCCTCCCTCTTAAAGGCTGATGTTCCCTAAGATTCTCTCCCTGGCACGGCTCATTGGCTCACTAACGCTGTCTCTAAGGGCCCTCAGCCCTCCTTAGGGCTCCTACATCCATATAAAAAAGTGAGACCTCCCTCCCCAGTCAGGGGAGATGCGACCCAAGAGGTTTCCCGCTTTTGCTCTGGGAAGTGGGGGAGGGAGAGAAAGACCTCATCCAGGCCTTGGGAGCTGGGCTTGCAGGGCACAAAGGAACACAGTAAATGCTCAGTACTTGGTCTTGAATGAATGAATGCTTGGTAAGAGTGGAACTTCCACCTGCCTCTGTGGGACACGCCACCCCCATCCAAGGCTTAGATTTCACCTGCTCATCTGGGCTCCCAGGCCAGGCCTTCTGCCACACCAAGCCACACCAAGCTCAGCAGTGCTCACAGGCCTTTAATCTCTAACAGCCTGGCCACACGCCATCACTGCCCCAGGATGGTGGGGAGGGATAAAGATGTATGGTCAGGTAGGCTGTGCCAGCTGAGTCCAACACGGAAGGGCTAGGTCAGGCTGGGGCCTGGGCAGGGGGCTCCTGGCCCCAGGTGATGAGGGAGTTGCTGGCCTGGGCAAGCTCGGCGATGGACACCCGGCCTCGCTGTCGAATGAAGTTAGCCACAGCAGCCAGTTCCTCTGGGGTTATGTAGATGAACTTGCCCCGGTCGTCAATCACACCTGTGGGGACACACAGGTTGTGGGGCTGAGCCTTCTGGGCCCTCACCATCTGGCCTGGGAACGCCTTCCCACCCACCCCTTCACAACTGGCTCCCAGCCCTTCCGGCCTGCCTGCCTGTCTGGCCTTTCTTGGCTGCATCCAATCCTGGCGAGGTAGGTCAAATCAGGTTTCCTTGCTTATCCTGGTCACCGCGAGCCATCCCCAGGCCTCGGCACGTCCTCCTTGTAACTGCGTCCCCCTGTTCAATCCCTCTCATTGCACACCGCTCCCCCGACCCTTGGTTATCATCCCGCCTCTGCAACAAGTCCCTGCAGCCCCAAGACTAGACACTCCCCAAGGCCAAGGCCTGTAGTGATTGAGTCTCATCCTCTCACCTGTCAGAGTCCCCTCAGCCAGTAGGTCCTGGATGCGATTGATGGTGTCCTGAGAGGAGAACAATTCTCAGAGCAGAGATGGGCGCTGCCAACCCCAGAAAAAGGCACCTGCAACCTCCCTCCTACCACACTGAAATCTCTTCCCCCTCTCATGGCCGTCCCCCAACCTCGCCACGTGACTCCATACTTCTCTTCTGGAGGGGCCCAAGGAAAAAGGGTCTCTGGTCCTGGGGTCCTGAAAGACCCCCAAGAGCGGCGCTCTTCCAACCAGGAGAAGAGCAGTTGTGACGTATGGCCATGAAGGCTGGTGCTGCCTGTTTGCAAGAATTGTCAAGGTAACTGGATTTGGGCTGCTCTGGTTACAGGGCAGCTACAGTTAGGGGCTGCTACAGTGGTGGGGTTTGGACTTTCTTCTTTTCCTCGCTGCCTGTTTTTCCACCTAGTAGAAAGTAAGGATTCCTGGGGTGCCAAGAGATTCCTACCCTCTACTCCCTCCTGGATAGGGACAGGGCAGGGGAGCATCTATAGTCTTCATCTTTAGGGCAGGCCCCCTCTGAGAGCCACACAGACCTTGTGGCCACATTACACACAGCAGGACACCTTCCAGGACTTACCTGAGTCCGTAAGCCCACCTGGGAAGCCAGGTCTTCCAAGAGCACAACCTTGGACTGCTACAAAGAGAGGGAGGAAAGGAAGAAAGGCTGAGTGTGCAAATCCCTCTCCGCATTGGAGCCCTCTGAGTTTGCATTCTGATCTGATCTGTTTTAGGCGGCTGAATAAACACTGTGCAGATTCCTAAGGGAGAGCCTTGATCCCCTCACACACACACACTCACACGCACACATTCTCCCAACCACGCTTATACAGAGACACACATACTCATGAACTCTCTCATTCTCTGCTTGTGGGCAGGTATCTGCCTAAAACCACCACCTGGCTCGCAGGCCCCATCCTGGACTGGGGACCACGCTGAGACAGACACACACATGGCAAGCCGAGCATAGCTGCCGCCTTCTCCTCTGCATCCATCCAGCCATATCTTTTTAACATTATGGACAGATTGGAAGGAGAAGCACCACAGAGATGAAGGGAGAGGGTGACAGTCGCTAAAAGCTATTTTAAAACACTGTCACCAGGACTTGTGTTTGCTGAGGACCTGCTAGGACAAGGCACTGAGGTGTGGGGGATGCAATGGTGAATAAGACATAGCTCTTGCCCTGGGGCTCACAGCCCGGCCAGGGAGACAGGCGAGACTGCGGGCCAGGAGAGAGCAGATAAAAGGCCCCAATGAGCGAGGGCTCCGTGGAGGCAGTGCGGGTCATACCCACCTGGAGGCAGTGCGGGTCATACCCACCTCACCTGTGCTCACAGCTCCGCGGCCCGGAGATCCCCACAACCCTGACACCCCACATTTCTCTTTATCATCCTCTTCACGCCATCTGAGGCACTGGGCCCACCCTTAAAATAACTGTCGCTAACACTCTCAGTGCTTTCCACGCATAGCTATGTTCCACGTGCTTCCCTCACACCCTCAGTGGAAACTTTAGTTTAGGTGGCTACAGCTGAGGGTCCACTGTTCGCACATGCATATGCCTCCCCCACGAATAGAAAGCATATGACTCAAGAGAAGGCGGTCTTTTATGTTTCTGTGATTCTTTCATAGCAAACGCGCTGGGGGTGGAGTGACACGGTGACACCACCCCAGCTGCAGCTGGCATGTGACTGTTGGAAATGGCAAACTGAATGTGCAATCAGGGAGGCAAGTGAGCAGCAGCTGGGCCAGGGGATCGGCAAGCACAAAGTGACCTGGCCAGCTGGCTTGTGCCTACAAAGCAGGGGCAGGCGCTGGGTGACAGTTCAGAGTGGGAACACAGTCACCCTAGGTGGTCCCGAAGACCTGGTCTGAAGGCTGCTGGGGCCAAAAGTATGCTTGGAAAAACAAACCAACCAACCTAGCCCTAGTTGGAGAGTGGACCGACAAGAGCAAGCCAGACCTATGCCTCACATAAACTATGCTGGACACAGAAATGTGCCATCGGTTCTGAAACCTTAAGATGAAAGGGCCTTCCCCACTTGGAGCCAGGAAGGCGGGTGGGCTTAGTTTTGGAAGTCTTCCTTTCCCCTGCAGAGCAGCTTTAGAAGAATCAGCCAGCACAGGCTGCAAAGACCTCTAAGGTCCAGAAGCGTTGGGAACCCCCCTCCACACACCATCGCCCCTCCAGACCCACTGAAAGCTGAGGACTAGAACTGCCCTGGGGGCCTTTTCTCAGGTTTCTGCAGAGGGGGGGGGGCCTGAAGCTGATGGAGGAGGGCTTCCTGGAGGAGGGACACAGGACCATGCAGGTGCCCACTGGGTAGAGGGGGACAGAAAGTTCCAAACAGCAGCAGGGAAGTGTGAGAGATTTCCTGCCCTCACTCATGTATGCAAGTGGAGAATGGGCTCCGTCAGAGGGGAATGGGCACAGCCTGAAGGAGTTGTCTTCCTTTCTGGAACCCCTGGCCCTCAGGCTATGAGCCTCGCTGCTGGGAGGGATCTAAACTCTGTTCCCTTTCAGGGAGGTGGGGGGAAGATTATGCAAGCCCTGACTCCTTGGCACCCCCCTAGTACCACCCCCACCCCACCCCCGCTCCCTCTGCACTCCTTCCCTCAGCCGCCTCTGCACCTCTGAGCTGCACTTGAAAACCTCTCGCATCCTTCGTGGGAGAGAAGTTGCTTAGCAGCAAAGCAGAGCAGGACGTGCTTGCGCTTATGCAACCCGGGGTAGCAGCCGGGCGGCCTGCAGACAGAAGGGGACATACCTGCCGCCCCACCCCAGGTTTAAAGGAAACAGACCAAAGTTCCAGGTCAGAAACACGTGGCAGGGGACACTTCTTTCAAGTCAGTGGAGCCTCAGTGTGACATAACTGACAGAAAACACATGTGAAGACACTTGGAAACACAGTGACTCATTGAGCGTGGGGTCTGAAGAGCAGAGAAACTGTCAAACCCTAAGCGTGAGGAAGAGAGCAAAGGCTCGCGCCTCCCACACAGATCCAGGTCCTTCTCCACCTTCAGGGTCAGAGAAAAAGGGGTTCTCCTGGGCAGGACCTCTGCAGCTCAGCCCCTCTCGATCCCCCTGCATGAGCCCCAGTGAAACGCCTACAGCCCCCGTTCAGGTCTCAGGAGAAAGCACATGACATGCACACGCGAGGCAGGGAGCTGCCACCGGGCTCTGCTCTGTGGCTTACCTTAATGTAGTTGATGAACTCTATCAGGAAGCTTTGGGACTAGAGGAGCAGAAAAACCAGGGTGAGTGTCTCCCTTGCAGGGGCTCTGTGCCTATCCACCCGCCCAGTTGAATGTCACCTGCCTACGTGCCCTCTGTGTGCCCTCCCAACCACCTACATGTGTCACCCGCCCACCTGTGTGTGCGTACAGCCTCCCATGGTGAGGGTTTTGGGGACACCTGTCCTGAGGACAAGGCCTCTGGCATAATACAGCCTGCTGGTCCTTGTGCCCAGCCACCTCTCATTGCCTGACTAGGGAGATAAGCGAGGGGCAGCAGGGTGTCTGGGAGGCGGGGGCCCCGCCTTGGTGGCTGCAGGGAAGGTTTCCCAGGCGTGGCAGACCCACCTGTTCCTCAGTCATGGCCTCGCCCACGCCCTCCTCCTCCACCACGAAGGCCTCCTTCAGTTTCAGGTACTCCTCATGCTCCCGCTGGGCCTGCTCCTCCCGGGCCTTCCTCTCCTCCTCCTCCTGTGACACCGAGTGGGCAAGAGTCAGGTATTTGGGAATGGAGCGCCCACCGCATCCCTGGTTTTGGTCTCTGCTTCCCACACAGAGCACCAGGGCACACAGCCCAGCCCATTCTCAGGAACAGAGAGCTCCTTCAAGGCCCTGATCCCCCTGGCCCCCATGCTGAACGGAAGGCAGAGGCCCCTCTTCTCATCAGTTCTATTGCTCCCCAAACAAATGCTGCTCAGTCCCCTCCCCTTGAAACCTTGTCATGAACCCACCCCACAGTATCCTCCAGTCACCCTCTCCCTCTCCTGCCATGTCCAAACTTTGTAAATACACACACAGGCTCAATTTCCTCACCATATCCATTCACTGCTCTTCTGCATACCCAGCTCCTCCAGAACAATGCCTACTGTGGTCTCACCCATGCCCTCCATCCCACCAAATCCAAGGGACAGCCATCAGGACTCACATCCCTGTCCTCTCAGTGGCACTGGGCAGAGCCAACCACTCCCTCTTGGCTCCCAGACCCCACCCTCCCCTCCTTCCTTCTTGCTCTTTGGGCCATTATTCCCAGCTCCTCCATCACTCAGCCTGTCCCTGCTCCCTCTTCTACTCTATCTCAGGCCACCTGACCATGCCCACAGCATCAATAGCCATCTTCTTGCCAGTGACTGTCAGTTGTATCCCTGCCCAAATCTCTCCTCCCAAACACATGACTGCCCATGTGACACACCCACTGAGCCATCTCACAGGCACCTCAAACTGAATATGTCGCACAAAAACTGTGACCCAATCCCCACATGTCTGGTCCTCCTACTGGGCCCCTGGCTAGGTGAGTCACACAGCCATCTGGCCAGCTGACTTGGTCAGAAATGAGGTCCCATCTACCACTTCTTTCTTTAACTTCCAGAAAGCTTCTCGGTCCGTCCACATGACTCCATCATGACCACTGCCTAGTGCAAAAGCTTCTCCCCAGCCCAACCCCAGAGCTCTCCGAAGATCTCCGTAAAACCTGAAGCTCCAGCTGGGACAGGGAGTATAAAGGACGAGCCTGGAGCCTCTTACAGTAGCAAACTGAAGGTACTTAAAAAACAAAACAATGAGGACAGCCGGTTAACTCAGCTGGTTAGAGCGCAGGGCACAGTGCTCATAACACCAAGGTTGCCGGTTTGATTCCCACATGGGCCACTGAGGTGCGCCCTCCACAACTAGATTGAAGACAACTACCTGACTTGGAGCTGATGGGTCCTGGAGAAACACACTGTTCCCCAATTTAAAAAAAAATTCTAATATTAAAAAAAAAACACAACAATAACAATGTTTGTTGAGTCAACTGAAAGAACTCCCAATGGCCAAAGTTGGAACAATCTGACAAAATCAGTAAGATAGTATTGGATTATAACACAAAGTACAAGATAAATAGCCATAAATCCATGTGGGTAAAAATAAACAATTGAATATATAAATAGAGAAGAAAAGATAACTCTCCTGTAGAAAAAAATTCCAAATACTTTATGTAGATGCTCTCCTCTCACGGAGGTGGAGCGTAATTCCCCACTCCTTTCGAGTGGGTAGTGCACACTGCCTTGTTTCTGAAGTATGGGAAGGGGAAAGTAACATTACCGTGGAGAAATTTGACAAACACCTTAGCCAGGGATCAAGGTTCACATCGCTAGTGACAAGTCAAGCTGATAACATGTACCACTGATA